ATATCATACATATTATCTTATAACGCTAGACAGGGATAATTAAAATTTAATTACTTCTTAATATGCAGACAAACTTTATTAGTTTAATATTCATTATAAGGTAGAAAATATGATATAGGAATTTGATACTAAATTTTATTGTTGTGAAAATAAATTTCCATTAATTAACATCAAATTTAAGTAATGATGCTCTAAAATGAAAGCATAATAAACATACATCTACATATAATTATGTATTTTAAATAAGTATTATTGTAAAATAACTAGTAGGCCACTATATGAGACAGTAAATTAAAGTATGTGAATATATTAAATTATTTTTAAAAGATGGATTTTAGCTTCAGATCTTCTATGATTATGTTAAGTAATTAATCAAGTTATTTGAATATAGAAATGAAAGCAACAATCTGCTCAATATTTCCAGTATAATATATTATTAGAATTATAGAAAATGGCCTTAAAAGGTAAGTATAAAATAATTAAATTAAGAATGTATAAACCAAAAATGATATAATTAAATATTATAGAAAATCTAATTCTAAACAATATTAAATAAGTTGAATCATTCTAAATTCAAATAAATAATTTAAAATCTATGGTTCTTTAATAATTAGATTAATCGAATAGTAACACTAATGATCAAATGTTAAAATAAACTCGATCTAAATACTCAGAATATAGTTTCTTCAAAGAATTAGATATAATAATAATCGATTAATAAAATAATAACAAAATTAAATTAATTGTTAAAATCAAGTTAAAATAGTTAATCAGCATTGGATTACAAAAGTCAATTCTAAATTAGAACATTTTAAATAATTTTAAGAATATCAATAATTAAAGAATATTTTGAAGAAATTAAATCAATAGTTATAAAATATGTCTATAGTTAAATAACAAAAAAAAACTATTGAGTCCAAATGAATTCTTATTTATTGATGATACAATAGAATAAAAAAGAAATTTATAAGGCAATTGTATTCGATTGAACAGGGAAGATTATGATCTCAACTTGTGGAAGTAAAATTATATTTTAAAAATGAAAAAATTTAAAAAGATCAGTCACTTTCACAACATTATAATATTGTTAATTTCTTAGTATATAGTAAATTTAAGAATTATTTTATTTCTGGATCAATTATTTTATGGAAATAATTCAATAAAAATTAATTGTAAGGTTCAAACCATGTTAATTATTGAAACTCCAAAGAGTCTTTCAAAAAAATACCTTTTAAGATATTTAGATAGAAATGTTTTATTAAATGAACATAAAGCTATGAAATTAAAATTTTGCAAATTTAATTGCCATTCTATTTTCTTAAAAAAATAAATTAAACCACTCTTCCGAATATAAGACTTAGAGAAATATACGAGTGAAATACATTCACTTACTCTTTGATTTAAATTATCAACAACATGTACTGAAGGCTCATCAAAGAAAACCTACTATTAAAAATAATGAAAATACATTAAAGGTTTAAAATAATTTTATTTATTGAAAGATAATGCTTTAAATGCAGTATTACCTGGATATATCTTTCAAAATAAAAAAAGGTGATGGTTAAGCTCTCTTAATAGAGTTTATTAATTTATAGATCTTCTAGCTATAATCTCGCTAATAAGTTTGGTTATTTTTTTTATTAAGAACTTCTTAATTATTTTTTGATTATTAGTAAAAATTATTGTAAATTAATATATTAAAGTAATTAAAAGAAGTTTAAGCCTTTATTTCCGATATACTCAAATTAGAATTACATTCATTGTAATAAATAAATTATCTTAATAATTAAGATCTATTTTATTAATAGTGAGAGGTTTTTAATAGAAATTCGGTGAAGATTTTTAGGGAACCATCTCCATTAAGGCTCTATAATAGTTTTAGGAAAAATTGAAGTTAATTCATTAATTGTGATATATTAAATGCTAATTTTATTAAAAACAGGAATAATTAAAAAATTATTAAATGAATTTATTTTCAAAATAATTTTTCATTTTGTTTCCCCTATTCTAAGTTATTCTTTATTTATATTTTTTTACTTAAAAATAATTGGGCCAGGTAATCATCGGTAAACCGAAGAAAAGGTTAAAGAGTGGAAACTCATAGACGAGACTTGAAGTAGAGAGTGATCTTGAGAGAGAAGGTATGCTCAACTTCTTGAACAGTTTGGGGGAGCCATATACCCTTTTTTCTAAAATATGACTATACCTTTGAGTTCTTGAAACAATCATAAAGTTCGTTCAAAAACCTTAAGGTGGATGAGTCACATTACTGAGTATGTACTCTCATCAATGTTAGTCTGTGTTATGAATTGAAAAGATGAACTCGTTGTTCTAGATCCTTCTTTTTTGGAACTTATATTACAATGCAATAAATTTAATACACCAACAATGATGATGTATCTCGGACATTAGAAAGACACTAATTTAGTATCAAATCAAATATTGGATTCCATAAATACACTTGATAATGTGTAAAATTATTTTAATTTAGCTAAATCTTCATTGAACCTATTTTTATTCATGATCCAGATTTTTGCAAGGTTGTCTTATTTATATATTATTCAATTTCATAAAAGCTTAATAGCATAATCTCTAAAGTTAGTTTACCAATGCCCATTCTTATTATTATTTTCTTTAACTTTATAATCATCATTATCTTCAAAAAATGAGAAAATATTTCTCCAAAATAGCATTTTGTTTTTATAATTTATAGTTCAATTCAAAGCATCTATGTTTTCATATATATCTTACAGCACATCTTTTTTAAAGTTATAAATTTATCTATTTGCCTTTGTATAATGTATAATAAATAAACTCTAAAAGAAAATTTAGATATGCCATGTTTTAACTTTATTTAATCACTTAATCAACCTTCATTATAGGTTGATATGTGTTTGAAGTGCATGAATTTATTTATAAACTAATATGTAGATGATGAAATTAAATTGTTCCCCATCTCTAAAAATAGATGTACTCCAAAACTTTTACATTTAAATAGATTTGAAAAAATTTTTAATATTTTCTGTCATTCCTTACATTAATTTTAATTTGCTCTTTCTAATTCATTCATTCATCTATTTATCTGATCCTAAACTTTGAAATCTTAAATGTTTATTCGCTCATTTAAATTATAGAGAATATAAAACAGAGTTTCTAAATATTCATTTTTAAAGCAATCGGTGTTACTTATTATTACATGATTTCTCAATACAAATATTGAACAAGAAACATTTTTGAATATCTTGGAGTATTATTTTCAAATAGCAATAAATTTATAAGATTATTTAGATTAAAATGTACGGGATAGTTGATCTAAAATAAATTTCCTCTTTCCTTTCTGCAAAAATTAAGAGACATAATTACTACATGTTCATGTACTGAAAAAAAATTTTCAATTAACTAAGAATTTTAAGATTATTGAAACAAATATTAGAGCTAAGGTTAATAAAATTATGCAGATAAGATAAGTTGCAAAATAATAGCTTTTTACAATATTAAACAAAAGATTTTATTTTATTTCACATCTGAAATTCCTCGTCCAAGCTCCCTGAAAAAATTAAGTTACTTCGCAGCTGTAAAAAGAGGTTAAAGCTTCTTAGAAATGAACTTAGGATAGTGAACTACTACTTGGATTAACCTTTAATCACAACATAAAATTATTTAGAACCCTCACTTGAACATAGACAAGAAAATTTCAATTAAAAAAAATTCTTTAATAAAGTTTTGAAAAAGGAACACAATCACTAATTAAAATCATTCACCTTAAGGTTTTCTAAAAAAACATTATGATAGTTTTTAGAACTAATAGGAACTGAAGAGTATAAGCTTAATCTTACTTCCTTTTTTTTGTAAAAAGGAATATGACTCCTCAAAGCTGTTCAAAGAAGTTGAGCATACCTACACTCTCAAGGCCACTATCAACATCATTTCTTGAAATCTCCCTTCAGTTTACCCTAATTACATGGCCCAAATTATTTTTATTTAAAAATAATTCTGATTAGATTTCATTCACTTGAAATAGATTATTATTAGGATGGTTGAAAAACAATGAGAAGTTTTATGTATTTAATAATAATCACAGTTTAATTTTATAAAATCATGTTATTAGTAAGAAAAGAGATGAATGCTTTAAAGTAATCAATTAACATCTTAGATATATTTTGAAAAATATTCTAATTATTTTTGAGTGTAATTCATTTTTATTTTCAAATTAATAGAGAACCCATTTTTAGAATTATTTAGGCTAAGAAAGTTTAGAATGGAATTATAAAGAGTGAGCTATGTAAAAATTATTTTATACTTATAAGTATGTGGGCAATTCATATATGAAATACAAGTGTAAAGGCAAAATGTTCCTAAAAACTAATCTTATTTTATATGGCTAATGAAGAAATTGAGGTATTCAACCCAAAATCAGGAAACATTTTATAGAAATTTAATCTAATTTTTACAAAATTCTTTAATAAACATGTCTTTAATATTCGATATCTTTATTAATTATGTAAACAAGTCAATATATTCAGATATATCAACAAAATTTTTAAAACATAATAATCTTAAAACTTCAACTTCAGAAATGGAAAACTTTATTATAGATTAAGACACAAAGACAAAACTTTCATTTAATAATGTTCTCATACAATATTGAATAAGCAGATTATCACAAACAACCCTAAATGTAAAATCCAGGAATAATACTCTATTTTGATCTCACTTGGAGGGTTTTATACATAAGCTTTTTTATTAAATTGGATATTTAAAAGTCTATTTACATCACAAAATGTGATTTTTCTTATTCACAACAACAACTTGATGGCTTGTTACTTGTACATTTTTAAATGCAACTACTTTAGCTGCATATAGATCAATACAGCTTTTAGGCCTGAAAAAACCTATTTTGCTTAATTTCCACAAATACAGTTTTTACTAAAAATGAGATCATTATTTTAAAAGAATTCCTTCTCATTTTGATGTACAATATATATTAGTAGAACATTGTGAATTATATGATGTTCTACAAATACAATTATTTTAGAATTTATTACATTATTAAACACAAGTACCTCTAATTTATTAAAAATCATGGAAAATCTGTTTTTTTTTGACAGTTTTATATACAATTTTCATTTTAATCATTTGTATTCTAACATACTTAAGTATTAGAACAGTCTAATTCCTTTTAATTTGTTATAGTAATAAATTTACCTGCATTTCCAGTTAGATTTTCTTATGTTTATTAACTAGACAACCCTATTTGTTAATGCATCCACAGATTCTAGATGATATCAAACTATTGTACAATTATCATTACATTATCCTTAAGCATCTCTTGTAATTAAAAAATATTAGATTTATTAAAATTGCTAAGTTGAATATATCCATAAAATAATTGCTCTAAGAATTGGTAGTACAGATGTAGAAACAGATACTGGAACTAGCTTTATTCTATTCACATCGTTATGTTAAATGTCAATATAAAAGTGTCGTAGATCCACAGATACTATTATTTACTTTTAACCCTTAGCATAATTAATTAAAATTTCAATTTTTACATTTGAATTTTTCCAATAAGTAGTTAAACTGAATTAATTTAATTGATCTTGTTCCTTTAAAAACATTCAATTAATCAAATAATAATAAAAATATCTTAATATTTTCTTTGACTGTAGCTGCAATGTCTATTAAATAACATTTATGGCTTTTTAATAAAAGAAAAGAAATTTTAAGTAAAATTAGGTTATTAAATTGAAATCTAAAATATTATTCATATTCTTAATAAAAAAATATTTAAAGTATTAAAACTTATTGAATTATAAATAAAATAATAATTTAACTTACAATTACTTAGGATTTTCTTTTAATGAATAAAATAACCAAAAATCCTTATGTAAATAAAATTTGACTCAAATCATTGTTTTCTGCTCTATTCAAAAGGATGTTCTAGTAAGAAAATGAGAGAAATAATTATTCTCTGTTTAATAAAAAATGCTATGATTCTTCTAAATTACTATTTGGGTTAATTTAAAAAAAGACTGTATTTTCATGTAAAAACCACGATTGATTATTGTTAATACTTATTATAAACTTCTAAACCTTGAGAATTTGAATATTTTGTTAATAAATACAAGCAAATATGTTATTAGTATGAATATTTCTTTGGTTTATTCATATTTCCTATCAGTATGATATGAATACGAAAAAATATATTATATAAAATTGATATCCTTCAAAAATGTTTTATTTAACCTAAACATATCTTTCAAGATTGCTTTCAATATTAAAAAAAAAGTATTAAATAACTTTAATATAAAAAACTTATGAAGGGAATTATATAAAGTATTTTTAAAATCAATAGAGACAAATATTTATTACTAGTCACTAATCTACATAATTAAACTTTATAAAATAGTGCTACTAATATTTATTAATAAAACTTTAGTAATTAAGATGGTAAATTGTATAATGAATGAGTTGTAGTTAAAAATGTCTTTCTTCAGCATAAAAATATTATTATTGTAATATTATTATTTATAATATTGAATTCAATTAATATATAATTCATACACATTATATTTCTATCCCTCATTATCCCAAGTAACTATATACTTTGCATCATTAGTTAATGCTCCAAAAATATCATTTGATTAATATTTTATCTATGAGATTATTTTTAATTGTCCTTCATTTGATATTTTGATCAAATAAACGCACTATTTATGTTTTACAATCATTAAATTCTTTTTTTTGTCATAACAGATTGGAAATAAATTGAGATCAGGTTGTTAATCATTTTTATTTAGTCTTAGTTCCTTTTCCAAGTTTTCTTGATATTTTTAATTTTTTAGTTCAAATGTGCTTATACAATCTTTGCTTACTTGATTTCCTGTAACAAAAATAAATTAGTCTTCATTTATAAAGCATAATCTGCATCCAACTTCTTAAATTGATTATGTAACTTCATATCCAAATTCCCATTTTTGTTCATTATCTTATTTCCAAACTATTATCTATTTTTCATCACCACAAGAAACCAAAGTATCTTCGGTTTGATTTAAGCATAAACTATAAACGCTACTTTTATGTTTGTCTAATGAATAAAAATAGGTTAATTAATTATTAACTAAATCTATTTTCCAAATTTTTATTGAATTATCACAACCTCCAGAAATAAGTTAATTTTCAGATTGATTTAAGATTAAGCAGTTTATAAAACTAGTATGCTAATAATAAGATTAAGAACTCTTCCATTCTTTTTCATTAATTTATATCCAACATCGAATAGAATTATCAAAACCGGCAGATAAAAAACTATTGCTATTCTTACTAAATTTAAGANTACAATTACTTAGGATTTTCTTTTAATGAATAAAATAACCAAAAATCCTTATGTAAATAAAATTTGACTCAAATCATTGTTTTCTGCTCTATTCAAAAGGATGTTCTAGTAAGAAAATGAGAGAAATAATTATTCTCTGTTTAATAAAAAATGCTATGATTCTTCTAAATTACTATTTGGGTTAATTTAAAAAAAGACTGTATTTTCATGTAAAAACCACGATTGATTATTGTTAATACTTATTATAAACTTCTAAACCTTGAGAATTTGAATATTTTGTTAATAAATACAAGCAAATATGTTATTAGTATGAATATTTCTTTGGTTTATTCATATTTCCTATCAGTATGATATGAATACGAAAAAATATATTATATAAAATTGATATCCTTCAAAAATGTTTTATTTAACCTAAACATATCTTTCAAGATTGCTTTCAATATTAAAAAAAAAGTATTAAATAACTTTAATATAAAAAACTTATGAAGGGAATTATATAAAGTATTTTTAAAATCAATAGAGACAAATATTTATTACTAGTCACTAATCTACATAATTAAACTTTATAAAATAGTGCTACTAATATTTATTAATAAAACTTTAGTAATTAAGATGGTAAATTGTATAATGAATGAGTTGTAGTTAAAAATGTCTTTCTTCAGCATAAAAATATTATTATTGTAATATTATTATTTATAATATTGAATTCAATTAATATATAATTCATACACATTATATTTCTATCCCTCATTATCCCAAGTAACTATATACTTTGCATCATTAGTTAATGCTCCAAAAATATCATTTGATTAATATTTTATCTATGAGATTATTTTTAATTGTCCTTCATTTGATATTTTGATCAAATAAACGCACTATTTATGTTTTACAATCATTAAATTCTTTTTTTTGTCATAACAGATTGGAAATAAATTGAGATCAGGTTGTTAATCATTTTTATTTAGTCTTAGTTCCTTTTCCAAGTTTTCTTGATATTTTTAATTTTTTAGTTCAAATGTGCTTATACAATCTTTGCTTACTTGATTTCCTGTAACAAAAATAAATTAGTCTTCATTTATAAAGCATAATCTGCATCCAACTTCTTAAATTGATTATGTAACTTCATATCCAAATTCCCATTTTTGTTCATTATCTTATTTCCAAACTATTATCTATTTATCATCACCACAAGAAACCAAAGTATCTTCGGTTTGATTTAAGCATAAACTATAAACGCTACTTTTATGTTTGTCTAATGAATAAAAATAGGTTAATTAATTATTAACTAAATCTATTTTCCAAATTTTTATTGAATTATCACAACCTCCAGAAATAAGTTAATTTTCAGATTGATTTAAGATTAAGCAGTTTATAAAACTAGTATGCTAATAATAAGATTAAGAACTCTTCCATTCTTTTTCATTAATTTATATCCAACATCGAATAGAATTATCAAAACCGGCAGATAAAAAACTATTGCTATTCTTACTAAATTTAAGACAACAT